CCTAAATCCAGAGTGATCTCATCTCGAGATCCTTAACTTAATTACACCTGCAAAGATCCTATTTCCAAATAAGGTCACATTCACAGGTACATATTTTGGGAGAACACAATTCAACCCACTACACCACCCTGACTTTCGCTATAGCGCAGACTCATCTTGACCTCATGGTGACTTTGGTCAGTGGAAATGTGTGCTATGGGAAATGTCTCCTGAGCCACTGCAACAACTGGATTCCATGGGGCTTCCTGGGCTGGGGAAAGGAAGAGGAGCACTGAGGGGTGAGGGGCAGAAAGAAGGGTGCCTAGGACATGGTGGGTGCTCATAAACGTTAAGTTGAATTGGAGAATAAAGGAGAGGACATTATGGAAGAAAGGGAACACACCAGTGAGCAGGTCAGAGTCTGTCTGTGGGATTCCCAGGGCTCAGCTGACTTAGTCCAGTTGTGATGCCCACACTAGCCTCTCTGATCTTGGCTGCTCCCCAGGATGAGGCTTCTGGCCACCAAGCAGAGGAGTGACGCAAGAACAGAGGGCAGAGCTATTGGCGTGGGCACCCGGTCTGTTGGGCAAGAGGAAATCCCGGGGCTGCCCTGGCTGCCAAGGGCTGAGGTGAAGCAAAGGAAAGAATGAAGTGGGAGGGAAGGGGGAGGCTGGAGTCCCAGAAATTCCAAGGCTAAGGCACTTGAGGGAATTATGCGCCTCTTTCATCCAACAGCCTCTGCAGATGCCTGCTTCTACTGTAGGAATGACCCACAAGAGTTCTGAGGTCCAGAAGGGCCAGCAGAGGCTACAGTAGAGAAAGAAAAGAGGAAGTAAACCTGTTGCTAGAGGAAGAAAGGATGTGGCTTCCAGCTCAGGGTCCTCCCTTCCTCCTGAGCTTAGCCACTCTCAGGCTGGAATCGGGAGCATCAACTCCCATCCCAGTATTTCAGTGAGCCCAGTCCTTGGGAGGGCCTGGGAGTCCAGCTATAGCTGACCAGCCTAAAGCTCCCCTTTGCTCTGCCCAAGGATTGGACTCTTCCCTGAGCCTAGAAGTACCAGGCCTACCCTCTTCCTGATCTCATCATCACAGATCCTAAATACTGAGCTCCATTGTGCCGGGCACTTTTCATTTGTCAATTTCACTTTATGATTCTGTCAATTTGTGCTTTATATATTTTGAGGCTATTTTATCTAGGGCACACAGGTTAGGTTCAGGATTGTTATACCTTCTCGTCAATTGTTTATTACTAAGTAAAGATTCTCTTTATCTCTAATAATACTTTTTGCTTTAAAGACTATTTGCCTAATGTTACGATTGCTACAGCAGATAAGTTGTTTGGTATTTGTTTGCCCAGTTTATCTTCTTCTATCCCTTTACCTTCTATCTTTGTATCATGTTTTCAATGCTTCTTATGCAAATAGTATACAGCTATATTCTTTTAAAATCCAATCTCTTTTCCTTGTTGTTGACAGGCCAGTTTTAACCTACTTACATTAATTATGATTACTAACATACTTGAACTCATTTATACTTTATTCTGTACTTTTTATTAACTAGGCTACCTCTTTCCTCCCTCCTCCCTCCCCGAACTTTCCTTCTACTACTGGATTTGGCTTTGTCTCCTTTAACATTTGGATTATACACACCATTTCTAGTCTCTTTGAAGTTACCTTGCTGCGTTAGTATTATGTATTCAGAGATTTTTTTTTTAAAGATTTTTATTTATTTATTTTCTCCCCCTAAAGCCCCAGTAGATAGTTGTATGTCATAGTTGCACATCCTTCTAGTTGCTGTACGTGGGACGCGGCCTCAGCATGGCCGGAGAAGCGGTGCGTTGGTGCGCGCCCGGGATCCGAACCTGGGCCGCCAGCAGTGGAGCGCGCGCACTTAACCACTAAGCCACGGAGCCGGCCCGTAGTCAGAGATTTTATTCCAGTTTCTTCATTTTATGAGGGCCCAGGGCTACATCTCTGGCCCCTGCAGGGCATTAAAACCTGCAGTCCCTATCCACCCCTTGGGCTTATTTCCGTCTGAAACCTAAGGCTTGCCCCAGTGCCAACTTGTGGTTACCAAACTTTGATTTTTGGTGTTCACTTCTGACCTCTACGACAGTCTATGACAGCTATGATTTTCTCTTTCAAGGTCAGCATTACATCTTTCTTAGTTACACTTTATCCCAACTTTTTGCATAACTTTGTAGCAAGTACCAGGGCGGGGGTCCTTCTGGGTCAGCTTAGTCTGCCATGTTTCCTGAAATCCTTAGGTGATTTCATTCATTATCTCACTTAACCCTCCTACAGGATGAAAGGAACTATCATCTGCATTTCCTAATGAGGGGACAACTATCCGTCACAGTGTTCTCCTTATTTCATATTATTTTTAACTTTTCCTCCCTAACAAATGCCCCCGCTTCACACAAAGCTAATGAAGTTTTTATTCGTAACCTACAGTTGAGAATAATGCTAGCTGCTGTAACAGGTAAGGCCAAAGATCTCAGTGGTTTAACACAGTAAGAACAACTTCTCACAGTGAAGAATCTGCAGGGCCTCGGATCCTTTCATTTGGGGAACAGGAAAGAGACAGGCTCTTATGGGAGGTTTATAGAAGCCAGCCCTGAAAATGGTGCACATCTCTTCTGCCCATATTCCACTGACCAGAACTCAAATGTACACGTGTATACCTACAAAGGAGGATGGGAAATGTAGTGCAGCGGTGCGCCCGAGGAAAGAAAAGCGTACTTAGCACACAGCCAGTCTCTCTGCCAATACCTTTTAATCCTCTACCATTTTCTAATTTTCTGTAATGATTTAATCACCAAGTTCTGCAATAATATACTTCATCTTATTCACTTAATCCCTTAAGTAGGCATAAAATAATCTTTGCATATTGTATTTGTATGAATTTGGTTTCTCCATTTCTTGGTTTAGCCTTCTCTGCCCATATTTTAACATTTATTTCACTCTTCTTCTTTCTTACCTTTTACCTTCTTTGTTCCTTTGGCAAAATTGTTTATTTCCAGAGGTGCCAGCAGGAGGCAGAGGCAGCCTAAGTGGGCAGCAGGAGGGACACCTCTACCATGTCTTAGCCAGAGAGAGGGGCCCTTATCACTCTAGGTGGCCACTCAACTTTTACAGCTGCCCTGAGTCAACCCACACCTGAGTGGTCCTGAAGACCCACAGGACAGATTCCCTCTGCTCCGGGCTATCTCCTCCTGCCACAACCCCAAAGACAAGAGCCCTAAGCTGGCCTATGGGAGTCCATCCCTTCACAGCTGCCCTCAGAACATTCAGCTACAGTCACATTCACCCTCTCCAGGAACAATCACAAGGTCAGAGTGGGGACTGATGGCTCAATGAGTAGGGCTCCCTGGCTGAGGGGAAGTCCTCAGTATGGACTCCTGATTTGTTCCTCTCAACAGAGTCGACAATCAAGCTATTCTCAAATTTTCTTTGTTCACAGATTTAGTCATTCACTTACCTACCCAACCAGTTGGTCCTTCATTAAAAATCTGTGAGCCCTCAGCACCCTTCAGGTCCAGCGCTGCGCTGTGGATACTCCATGCTGAAGGAAACACACTTCCTGCTCTTGGGAACCCTTTACAGTTTAGAAGAGACCATGCTGGAGCAAAGATAAAGCTTGAGGCATTGTGGTGTGTGGGTGGTTGTGCGAGGGGCCCAGGGAACCCAAGGGTAGCAAACTTCTGCTCAGTGCGCTGGGGAAGGATGAGTAGATTCCCTGAGGAGAACTGTGCATGCTAAAGTAGTCATGAGAGGTCATGGCATACTTATTGTGAGGGATTAGAGATGAAACCAGAGAGCTCAAGGCTCAGCCCCTTGGCCTGTCCCTCACCACAGCCCCAAACCTCCTCCTTAGCTTCAGTCTATAGGAACCCTGAGCAGGTCCAGCTTAACATTTGTTTGACTCTGATGTGTCCCGGCTTACTTGCCCAACCCAGGGTTCTTCCCCATCAGGGCTTGACCTCCATGACAGTCTTTTGACCTCACCACTGCTGTTCAGGCTGTTTAAACTGCTGACTGTGGGGGAAAGACCCCCAGCCCTAACAGCAGTTAGCATGGGTCCTCTTCCTGGAAACATGATAAGAAAACATCTCGCACATGCAGGAGGGTCCTTTGCAACCTCCTGTCTTAGCAGCCCATGGTTATCACCACCTCATTAGTCCTTGGGCCGAGCCACAGATGCTCAATCGTCACCAGCAAGGCCTCGGGAGATCTTGCACTGGCTTGGGTCTTTTACCTTCTCCACCGCCACCACTGCCCCCTCCTGGTCTTCAGTGTCAAAGCCCCTGAGAGCCAGAGGTCCAGGTGATCGCCTCTGGTGAACTGCGTGAGCAGACAGGTTCTGAGGTGGCCTCATCAGAGATGTGGGGTAGAGGCTCCATGGGGTTTAAATGTACAGATCCTGTGACAAGGAAGCCAGCAGCTAAGAGGACGTCTGGGCTCAATTACTGGGTATGTTTGAGAGGTAAATTCTGACCAAACTATCTCTGTAAAACAGAGGAGGGAGTTGTCCCTTTCAGAGGAAGCTGCAAAGGTGCAGGGGAAGTGAGGTTACGGCCAAACTGAAAAGCTCCAGGAGTAACCGTCTGTGGTCCATTTCTTCTTCAAAAAGGCCTGAGAAAGTGAAGCAGCCAACAAACCCACAGGGACAGAAATAAAAAATGTGTAGGAAAGCCTCATATGGTGGAAAAGCTTCCAGCAAAGAAAGCAGGAACAAAAGTTGACCCAAGGCCTCATTTCTGCCCATTCAGAAGTGGGCACCAAGCAGGCCCGTAACAGAGTGACTGTGGACAATCTGGTGACCCTCTTTGGGCCTTTTCCTTACTTGTAAGAGGAAATAACAAGAGGAGGGAAATATTCCAGCTCCTGAGATTTCGTGGGTGATTGCATTTGTTACATAAACAATACCTTTTTAATGTATTTACGTGAAAGACTTCCACCTGCTGGGCAGTCACACAATTTCTGAGTAAACTGAGAAGAATATCTACACTGACAATATACATTTTAAAGGATTTTAAAAAATTAAAATTAAAATTAAAAAGGCTTCAAAATGCAGTAAGAAATAAGCCTTGTGCGTTTTGTACATCTCTGTCCCCCACCCCGTCTTCATTTACTGCTGAAGAAAGTGGACGCCACAGCTCTGCCATGGTTCAACAAAGCTGCCAGAAGGCCACTTAGTTTCTTCACTGCAGAAGCCCCAAATGAACACAGTTCTAAAGAGTAACTCCCAGTGTCCCTAACTGTTCTCCTCAGGAGAAATCCATCTTGCAGCCCAATGTTACCAGCAGACTCGGGGCAGACACAGCTAGCACAGTCAGTGTCCTGTCACTGGCCGACGTGGCCCAAGGTCCCTGGAGGCCCCTCCCTTACGCCTGCTCGCCAGCACCACCTCCACTGGCTGCTGAGCCTTTGCCGGAGGCCGGGGCTTCTGAGGAGCGAGAAGCCTGCTTCGGCAGGCGGATGGGGACGTAGACGTTGGAAGCACAATGCTCCTTGAAGTACTCTCCTCCCTTTTCCTCATAGTCTTTCCTGGTGATCCAGACCTCATCGTCATCTAGGTGGTCCAAGGCCCAGTCACGAGCACCATACCAGGCGTCCAGCACAGGGTTAGAGGCAAGCTGAACCTGAAACACGAAAACATTCATCAGAACGACATCTGCCATTAGGCTCAAGGGGGCCCAGCTACAGCCCCCCACATTTTACCCCCAGAAATACACACATAGGAGGGTCCCAACTAATTCCAAGACAGTGCGGGACTATCTCTGCACCCTCACACAAAGCTGAGCTGCAGTAAGCTCCCAATTCTCCGAGAGAGCACAAGAACGTGAAGCACACCAGACTGGGCCTCACAGAATAAACGGCTGCCAGCTATTTTATGAACACAAGACCTGGCACTCTGGGCCAGAGAGGGACCAGCTGCCCCGCCTCCTGCTCCAGTGCTGTCACCCCCCAGCAGATGAGAGGGGAAGCAGAGCTGGGACTCGGCCTGCAGGAAAGGCCTTCCCAGCCCTGATCCCCTCTCTGCGAGCGGAGGGGAGCAGACGCTGATGCGAGGCAGCTCCGGCCGTGGTGGCAGAGGAGCCTCAGGAGGAACGAGAGCAGAGAGGACGAGCTGGGCATTCTCCGTGGTGCTCCCCACGCTCAGTCTCCACTGCTTATTCCTGGAGCGAGGCCGAGGGCCAGCAGCTCGGGGAGCGCCCCTCAACTAGGAGGACACAGGCATTTGGGGGAGCGCTCTCTGGAGCTGAGATCAGGCTTCCTGTTTTCTGGAGTCACTGCCTGACTTCCCACCTCCCTCCTACCTCCCTCCAACACCAGAGGAGCTCCAGGTTGGAATGGTGGTTTCAGAACTTTCTGAAGTAAAGAACAGGCCACACAGAGCAGAATCAGCACGCAGAGATGGAGGAGGATGAAGCAGATAAGCCTGCAAGCTCAGGAGACTGACTGCCTGGGCTGACACAGGCAAGCGACTTGTGAGAAGGGATCACCAACAAGACTGGGATAACAGGAGCCCCTACTGCTCTGGCTGAGAAAGAGTCAGTGAGAGAATGAGTGTAAGGCACTTGGTACACTCCTGGCACAGGGTAAGCGTTCAATAAATGGCAGCTATCATTATTACCAGTAAAAACTGCAGTAAGATCTATCTGGAGGGGCCAGCCCCGTGGCGTAGTGGTTAAGTGCACGTGCTCCGCTGCTGGCGGCCCGGGTTGGGATCCCAGGAGCTTGTCCGGCCATGCTGAGGCCGCGTCCCATGTAAAGTGGAGGAAGATGGGCACAGATGTTAGCTCAGAGCTGGTCTTCCTCAGCAAAAAGAGGAGGATTGGCATGGATGTTAGCTCAGGGCTGATCTTCCTCGCCAAAAAAAAAAAAAAAAGATATATCTGGAATATAACAATGGAATACTATACAACCATAAAAAGGATGCTTTGGAAATGTACCTACTGATATAGAAAAACTGCCACAACAGTTTGAAAAGTGAAAAAAATACAGGTTACAAAATAAGCTATCAACAATCACTTTTTTTTGGTTAAAATCATACACATGAGAACAAAATGATCTGAAAGTGTATATATAATGTTGCTCACAGTGGCTGAACTACAAGTTTTTCTGTCTTCATTTTGGTTTGTTTAAATTATCTGATATTTTAGTAATGTTTTAAAATTTTTGTTGTTTAAATAAGAAAAAAACAACAGAACATTTTTTTACAAAAGTGTGTAACAGTTGTGCACATCTTAGGGCCTTAGATGGTCCATGTTTGAGCCACTGCTGTATATACATAAGCTACAATTTGAACCGCAGGGGCTAATTATGGCATGACACACACTCAGGACATTAGTAACGTGGCAGGGAGTAGGAAAGGGGGAAGAGTTGGAAGCTGGGGCTCTGCCACACGAGCCCGAAACAGCTAAGACAGAGCTGAGAAGAGAGATCTGGCAGCAGCATTTCTACAACCAATGCTCACAAAGGAATTCACGGGGAAGGCTTTTGGGATTATCAAGAAAGAGACCTTGAAAACCCTATTAGATGTGTTCTCAATGACGTCATCACAAGTCCACCCCGCCAGCACGCACCTGTGCTCATCCTTTACCGTCAGCCCCGAGGCTCTGCTCCCTCCTGTCCTCCTCCCACCTCTCCCACGGCCTCTTTCTTAGACTCCTTCATGGGTGCCCCTCCTCCAACTGCTGTTAAATGCTGGTGTTACTTAGGGCTTAACCTGGAACTTCACTTACCCTCCCTAACAGCGTCCACGAGCACATTCATGCTAGGGGATCAGAGTGGACCCTTCCTCCTTTCTCCCTCATGCTCATCAGCTAGCCATGACTGAGCTCTTCCTGTATCTCCCACTGGAAACTCAACTCAACCTACCCCGCAAAAGGGATTCACTACCCTCCCCGTCAAGTCTGCTCTTCCTCACCTATTTCCTAGTCCAGAGTCCAGGGAATGCCGTATTTATTCATGCAGCTGCCCAACCTAGAACTTGGGAGTTGTCTTAGTTCCCACTTCTCTTCTCAAATCCAATCTATACCCAGTTCTGAACATTTTGCTCCTTAATCTCTCTCACATCAATTCCCTCTTTCCTCTCCCTGGGCCATGGCCTTCATGTTTCTTGCGTAGCTACTGTGGGAGATCAAGATTTGGCCACCCTGAAATATATCTCTTTACCTTGATTGTTGTCTCTGACAGACATTTGACCTCCCCCACTAACTGCCTAAAGAATTTGACATAGTAACTCCTTCCTGGAACAGATCTTCTATCTGATGGCTGTAATATAATGTAAAATAGATGTTACAATAGAAAAGGCACAAACAAGCCCATCTTATCTGAAGTTCTATCTCTCTGGCCACATTCTCTGGATGGCCCTGCAAGGAGTTGCCAGACAAACATTTACATTTATAAGGGAAATCTCCATTTGTAAAGGTATCTCCCTCTCTGTATTGGGAAGAGGGGGGATGACCTCATTTCTAGAAACTTATCAGTGTGGAAGGTGAGGCCTTAAATCTGCATAATAACCTTAATCTTGTTTACTGTGCTTTAGTGGTAATCTCCTGTAACTGACTCCCCCCACCCCCAACATCCTCCTTTGTCATTGGCTGAACATGGTATTTAAGACAAGAATTTCTGCTATTGTGTTGAGAAATGCAGTGTCCCCGCTTTCTCCCATGTATACATGTTATTAAACTTGGTATTATTTTCTACTGCTAACCTGTCTTGTTAATTATTTGGCCAGCCATAAGAACCTTAAGGGAAAGGGCAGAGGGGGCTTCTCCCTCTTCCCCCAACACTACCAAGCAAGACTGTGCCAAAGGCTTGGAACACAGCAACTCACAAGACAGGCAGGCCCTTCCCTAATGGAGGTGGGTCTAGTAAGGAATGTAAGTAAGGACAGGGAAGGCTTCTGGAGGAAGTGACAACTAAGTCAGCCATGAGAGAGCCGGAGTGAGCTGGGAAGAATATTCTATTGCAAAAGGAAAGGCCCCAAGGCAAGAAAACATGGCATATTTGGGGAAGGAAGAGTAGCTCACTCTGGCCAAAGTTCCGGGTGGAGTGGGGAGTGACAAGAGAGAATGAGAGATAAGGAAGAGTCACTCAAGGTCAGATCACAAGAGACCTTTACGGTAAACTGTGGCGAGCTGGGAGGAGTGAGGACTTCATCCTAAGGGCTGGGGAGCTGCCTCCTAACTGTTCTCTGCTTCTAGAATTTCTCCTGATACTCCATTTTACACAGCAGCATCAAAAATATCTTCCTAAAATGCAAATCAGATCACGATTCCCCTGCTCAGACTCCTTCATGGTCCCGCAGGGCCCAACAATAACAACAGCTGGGCAGAAAAGAGGTACCCCAGCAGGACTGACTGCTAATCCTTAGAAAGGTCTGCTCACGAGGTTGGTCCTTGGCTGGCATCTGGGAACTTACATTTCAGGAGGGTTCCCACCATTAACTGGTAAGAGAGACGTACTGTGCCTGTTTGAACAAACAATGTGGTTTATGCTGAACACCTGCTTCCTTCTGCGAGTCTGGAATTTGGGTATGTGCCAGGCAGGGGTGCCTACACGATCAGCCCCAATAAAAACCCTGGGCACTGAGTCTCTAAAAGCTTCCCCGTTTGGCATGATTTCACACGTGTTGTTACAACTTGTTGCTGGGAGAATGATGCACGTCCTGTGCGACTCCACGGGGACAGCACTCTGGAAGCTTGCACCTGATTTCCCCTGGGCTTCGCCTCATGCACCTTTTCTCTTTACTGATTTTGCTTTGTCTCCTTTCAAATCACAGTCATGAGTATGATTATATGCTGAGTCCTGTGAGTCCTAGTGAATCACAGAACCTGGGCTGGTCCTAAGGACCCCCAACACAACAGCTAACGTCTGAGTGTTTATTCTGTGCAGCCCCGTGCTGAGCACTTGCCGTGCACTAGCACACTGAAGCCTGGTGACAGGTGCCATGACTATCACCCTCACACCACTGAGAAAACTGAGGCTCAGCAAAATTCAGTAATGGTGGTGACGAAGTCAGGACCACAGGCCAGAGACCACACCCTGAAGGTACAGGAGATGCGGCATAGGGCCTCAGGGTCAAGCCTCTTACCAGGACATGTGGGCTCTGCATCATGTGGGCCCTGCTGACCTCTCCACTGCACCCCCTCCACTCCCCTTTAACAGCCACGTGCTCCAGCTACACTCAGCTACCGCTCACTCCCCCAACAAGCGTTTGGCTCCTGGGTCGTTGCTTGTGCTAGTCCCTGTCTGGAATGCTCTCTCCATCCCACCCCACTCCACACTGCCTAGATGGCAAGCACCTTCTCATCCTTAGAAGACTCAGTTCCATGGAGCCTTCCCTGACCTCCAAGACTCACAGGTGCCCATGCCTGCATGTCCATCATGCTCTGGGTTATCATGGCCTATTTACTTGGCTGCTGCCCCCTCAGACAGGAAGTTCCTTGCAGCCAGGGGCTATGTCTAGGACACCTCAGCATCCCCAAGGTGCCTGGTCCACTATGGGACCTCACACCATGTTTCTTGGTGATTAGGGATTCAGAAGATAAATTATGGGGCATCCACACCATATAGTCATTAAAAAATAGTATTTTACAAGAATAATGACATGGGAAATGTTCATGACAAGTTAAGGAAATTCAGGTTACAAGGGAGTATACACTCTCACGTGTACAAAATCTGTGAAAGAAAAGCTTTGCCTGTAGAGTAGGGACTGGGTGAAGAGGATGACTTATTCTCATTGTACACTTGTATTCTCTGAATTTTATTCTATGCATGTCTTCCTTTTTCAATTAAAAAAAGAAAACAGAGAAATATATGACATGATTCCCATTCTGCTTAAAAAATTCGACATATATTAAAGACCAGAAAGAAAGCCACGAAAATGTTAACAGTGGGTATCTCTGGATGATGGAATTATAAAGTAATTTTTCTCGTTTACACTTTATTACTTTTGCAATCAGAAAACAAATAATGTTATTTTCAAAATAGCTGGTTACCTGAATTATCAGTACCTGAAAAGAAGACTGAAAGGGTCTCATCTCCAACAGCTCCTTCTCCATTCTAACTTTCATCCCAGGGTACATCATGTTCCCGCCAGTGAGGAAGACGTTCTGAACCAGCCTCTCCTGAACGTCCTTTGGGTACCTAGGAGAGAAACGGTTCCTTCTGGTACAGTCCCTCCAACTTGAATATTAGAAGAGAACGCAGAGGTGTAAATGTAAGCTCTCAGTACAAAACAGAAAATATCTAAACAAAAAGTTTAAAAAAAACCTTCCACTTGTCATTTGTGTCTTGTGAAAACTCACACTGCAGGAAAATGCCCGTATAAACAGGTGGCGGAGGCACGTTCTTATAAAAATGCAAACTCTTAAATAAAATGTCTCCAAGGAGGGAAAAAAATAAGTCCTGCACATTTTTCGGGTGATTTAGAATCACTAGTCTTCAATAACGTGAAGGTTTATATGAAAGCCAATGCACATACATTATCATGTGGCTCAAACTTAAAAGAAATCCTTAAAGCTCCTCAAATCAACTGAGTATTTACATGTTCAGAAAAGAATTACAGAGCCCAACTCTGTGCCAGGCCTGGTGAGAGATGAATACTACCTGGCACAGCAAGTCAAGGAAGAGGAGAGTAAGACAGATTTCCAAATGCCCGACCACCAAATCTACCATTCAGTGCAAAATCCAAGGAAATGGTTCAGGAAAACACATGGGAAAGAAGTTTCCGTCTCACCTGCCCAGAATGTACTGAAGGGTCTCTGCTATCCCAGCCTGCTCTTCTCCTATGAGAGACGGCTGGAAGATAATTTCTGGAGCTCGAATTCTTTCTGTCCCAACAAACAGCTGATGATATGCTGCCAAGTTAAACACGGGCTTTAAAAACCCAAGATTCAGAAGATATTTTTAGGCCGTAATGACAAACATCCCAGCTGCCAGTTTCCTCAAACTGCATTTCTTATTCCAATATAGCTTCTGGCCTTTGTTCACGCCACAATAACCTCTCCCCAACTCTCCTGACTTGTAATTCTATTTTCTACCTTCTTTTCAACCTCTGAACTATAAATAACTACAAATTTGCATCATGAAATAATCCCTGAGTTGCAGGGAAAGAGACTTCATGAAAAGCAGCAACAGAAAGGCCTAGCAGTGGAAGACAAGTCTCCCACCCAATGCCTTGCTCAGCACCCCTGGTCCCCGCACGGTCAAGAAAGCTTTCTCCCCAGGGTGTCTCAGACTCAGGTCAGTCTATCTGGTTGCCATCGTAATGACAGAAACGTAGACCCAAATGAGGATTACGCATGAGGACACTGGCTTAAATTTAAATGAAACTACTAAAGCTAGTCTTCAGGTCTCAAGTCCCCAACTACTTGCCCAAATGTTTCCATCAAGGAAACTGTTTCTCACAGATTCACAGATCTTGGTGCTGGAACCCCAATCAATCAGCAGGGAAAAAACCCCCGACTTCAGATGTTTTAAGTATTGGTGTCCCCGCTTATAGAAAATACAACTCGGATTTTTTTTTTTAATATTCCTAAAGAAGCAGACTAGACCAGACTGGTATTTATGTCAACAGCTTCAAGGCCACAGGAGTCCAACCTGGACAGTGGTGACTGGCTTCTCCACCTCAGGCGTTTCCTCGGAAAACAAGGGCTCAAAATCATTGATGCTTTCCACGTCTTCCAGAGAGGGTTCTAGCTGCTCCAGGTCAGGGGTCTAAGACGAGAACAAACACAACAATACAGATCCTGTAACTTGAGCGAGCCTTAGTTCTACTAGTTCAGTGTCATGAAAAAGAATTGGGATCTCACCCAATGTCCTAAATGTTTAAAAAAACTATGAAAAATTTTCTAAGCTATTAAAAAAAAAACAAGACCACGTGTGAACACAGGATTAAAAGACTAAACAGAAAGGGCTTTGCTTTTACCCCTACCTTTCCTACTCATACAAGCCTCACCCACTCCCACCTTCTCTCTGGAGCCTCCTGATCGTGCCAGCTCAAGCCTGGGGTCCAGTGGAAGACCTGCTGCCTGGGTCAGTCACACCACCACACACACAACTCGGGAGGAGAGGGTGTGATAGCTGGTGTCCCACAAAGTGGTTCAGGCTACCAGCAAAATTAAATACATCTTAATAATAAACATACGTGCCAACACCAATGGGCTCCACAATTAGTCCCTTAACAGCAGGTCCACTGGGCTGGGGATGTGACTAAAAGCTCCAAGGTGGCAGAATGCTTCCTATCTGTGGAGTCCTGCAGAATAGGCTTTCCTCATCAACAACATGAACCTGGGTGGGGCCCAGCACACTGGCACCATACCGAACGGAAGGTTTGGGGCACATTTAAACTTTGACCCAGACAAAAGAAGTTGAGTGATGGGGTGGAGGGGTATTTCTGGATGACATCGTCAGCCATCCCTGGTTCTGCCATGAGAAAGGCAGATGAGTTTACCTTCTGGACTCAAAGGGGAGAAGTTACAGGAAGAAACATTCTGTTGCATCCCACAGAAGAATGCTCTAATGATGACAGCTGTGGTAGAAAGGACTGTCTTATGAGACGGTGTCTTGGGAGGATTCAAGCAGACTCAACATCAACAGCCACACATTCTCGAGAGGAGATCCCTATGTTGAGTCTGTGTCTCTGAGTCCCTCCTTGCTCTCAGAATCTATGTAGTATGTAAATTACTGATAGAATTCAGAGCATTTAAAAATACTTCTCTAGAACCTGTTCATATAGGCTGCAAATGTACACTATCATTCCAACTCACTCTTGTATAAGGCAACGCCCCTCAACACTTGCTCTCTGGCTACGCCCTGTCGGGGAGCTCCCTCCTGGAAGCCAGGCTGAGAACCCCAAGGCACAAGGAGAGGCCACGTGGGTGCTCAGGTAAACAGTCCCCGCTGAGTCCAGTGAAAAACCCTCCAGAAATCCAGTTCCCAGTGGTCCAAGTCTTCCCAGCAGAGGCCCCAGGCATCACAGAGCAGAGATCCCTGCTACACTGTCTGAACTCCTGACCCCTCAAATTCACAAGCACAACAAGCCACTGAGTTTGGGGAGGTGTTTACACAGCAACAGATAAGCTCAATGTGCTTGGGGGCGGGCAGGAGTGGAGAACGCCCCAGACCGCTACCAGGCCACCCTTTAGTTCTCTTCGGCTTCCTCCTCCATCCCCACAGCAGCTGTCTTAGACCTCTCCCTACATTCTTCTCCTCAGCCCCTTTCTATCTCCACCCCGTGGTTCTCAGCACATCACCTTAAGCACTTCAAAATACCAACTTACCTATTTATTCCACCTCCTTATCTTTGCTCTAGTCCTTTCTTCCTTCCTTGTCTCAAAGGATGAGTATACCATCTCCTGGTCAAGCCCCCCACCCGTGCTCTTACAACTCTTCTGTCAACCTTTCTGGTTTCTCTCTTCTCTGACTGCTCTGTTTCAATCTCTTTCCCTAGCTTTTCCTCCGCCACCTAACCCCTAAGTGGTGGCCAGGCCTTCTTTTCTCACTCCTCGTGTGATTCTAGGTCCCTCCATAGCTGGGTCCTGGAAAGTTCCACCTGATATCCCCGAGACTTTAAAGATAAGGTGCTCAGAACCCAGCTCATTATCTTCCTAAACTTGGTCACTACCCTCCACCCACTGCCTTTCAGTACAGCCTCAGTGTGACCAGAGTGAATCTGGAATTGGACTGCTGGTGTCTGAATCTCAGCTGTGCTACCTCTGGCTGTGCAACCTTGGGCAAATTTCTTCACTCCCCTAAATCTCAGTCTCCTTATCTGTAAAATGGGAATGATGATAGTATTTATTGAACTGTGAAAATTAATCAGGACGACACTTGCAGAAGTGCTCAGCATGGGGTCTGGCACATGTCACATGTTCTATTATCATCAGCAACTGTCACTCCTGTCACCTCTGCCCCTAAATGGTATCAAGATCTTTGGATCCTACCGTTGAATTGTCTCCTCCTCCACCCTCCATGCCCACGGCTACTGACAAATTTCACTTCTACATCTGCTCTCTTCTGGATTACTGCCTTCCCACCTCCAGCCTTGCCTCTCCCTAAACCCATCATCCTAAATGGCACCAGTTATTTTTCTAAAATAAAATCTCATCAAATTATTTCCTTGCTCAACATACTCCGAAGGCTCTGTCTGAAGGATAATATCCAGGCTGATTCATAAGGACCTTTAAAGGCTGGCCCTCTCCTCCCTTCCCAGCTTCATCTCCCACGCTCTACTAACCAAACGTACATGCTCCCTGCACATGTGGTTCTTTCCATCTAAACTGTCTTTCCCTCCTCGTGAAATCAAATAATTCAGGGCCCGGCTCAAATATCCCATTCCTTTCTCATAACTCCACCGGAGTTCCCACACATCCCTACCACCACACCTGATAAGCTTTATTACAGTCAGCTCAGTATGGTTCTACAGCCCTATTTTTTGAGGTACTGAGGAGGGCAGGAACTGTATCTCAATCACTTTGCCCCCCTAGTCCCTGGCATACCATGCCTAGCACTGAGTGGTGGGCCCCTGGGATACTTCCTCAAAGTTCTGTGGAATAGAGAAGACTGTAAAACGTCTAGGTTTCAAAAGGCTTCTTCAGCTGCAACAAAAATATCATCATCCACCTTCATCTTGCTATATTCAAAAGCAAGTCACCTTAAAAATAAGATAACTTCTTAGCGTCACTAAAAATGATAAAAAGATATTTGACTTATCCCAATTCATATGATTCACAGAGAGGAACAAAGCTAATAATTTCAACGCAGACAACGCGCATCCAGGAGAGAACCGATTTCTCCACCGTGGCTGGCTTCTCTCCTTCCACTGTTTGCCAAGGTCTCCACAGGTACTGTGCGGCGTCAGGAACACAAATATGACTGTTCTTTTGGAGCTGAACAAAACAACGGTTTGCCAAAGCACATCAGAGAAGATGCAGCGCGGCTCCCTGGAACAGCCTTGAGCAGCATAAGAACAAGCAGAGGCTGGTTCTGACCTTGGCTGGTCAGGCAAGAGGACTTTCTGTATTTGGCTCATGGTGTTTTCCAACAAATGATGCTGCTCTAAAACTGCTCTCCCCCTCCACTCTCTCAAGCCAAGCTTATAGCGATGGAAAGCCAGCACCTTCTAGTTTAAATACTTCATTAGGAATGCCGACAAAGCCTACTCCTTTACAACATCCTTATCGGAATACTTGCAGAATACCAAGGGCTGAAATGGATCGGTCTGTAAGAAAAAATGGACTTTAGAAAACACTCTAGGGGCTGGCCCGGTGGCGCAAGCGGTTAAGTGCGCGCGCTCCGCTGCGGCGGCCCGGGGTTCGCTGGTTCGGATCCCGGGCGCGCACCGACGCACTGCTGGCAAGCCATGCTGTGGCGGCGTCCCATATAAAGTGGAGGAAGATGGGCACAGATGTTAGCCCAGGGCCAGTCTTCCTCAGCAAAAAAAGAGGAGGATTTGCGGATGTTAGCACAGGGCTGATCCCCCCAAAAAAAAAAAAAAAAAAGAAAACACTCTAAGTTAAAAAATTTAACTGGATTTAATTCAACTCAGCCATTACTGCCTGGATGGCATTTCAATATGAACTTTGGTCCATGTAAATCTATTCTTTCCATCCTGAATGAACTATATTGTTGGAAAACAGTAAAATACTTTTTGAAAGGTAGAACTGGCCAGCCAGTGTCATGGTCAAATTTATCCCATGAATGTTACCGTAACTGACTCTAATCACTATCAATCACATTCAATAAATGCTGACTGACCCTTAAAACTTTGGGGACAGATGATTTCATCACATTTGTGTATAGAGACAAATCTTTTAAAGTCCAACATTTCAAAACGTTGGGACTCTCTCCCCAAGCCCAGAGAGATTTGAATATGTATCCCCAGAGCACAAAACAAAGTAGGCCCCTAATAAGTATCTGCTGAATGAATGAGGGAGTGGTTGAATCACAGCATGTAACAAGTACAGAAAAATGAACAAAAAAAAAAGGAAAAACTAGTTCCCCAGCTGCTCAGGAATTACCTCCTACAGTTGTTTCGTTTTTTCTTTTTAAATCTGAAATCCCTCACCTGCCTATGGCTTAGTGGCACATCTCTGGGATAAAGATACTGATGTCCTGTTGACATGTTAAGCATGATAAAAACTAAAAATGGATGAATAAACAACAAAGACAATATGGGTCTGGATCCCAGTAAACAGCTTAAATCTGAAACACAGACCTGAAAACCGGAAGAAGCAAACTAGAAAAGGCACGTGAGTTCTACCAAAGTCGATCTGGGAAGCTGTGCAAGAGGAAGATGGGAGTAAAGGTGCCTTCTACCCAAGATCTCAGTGATCCAATGCGCTGTACCTAGGAAGCCTGGCTCAGAATCCGCTCTGTCAAAGAGCCATCCTCACGGCCTGTGGCTGTGCTCATGTGGTCTAGAGCCCGTCAGAGAGAGGTGGAGAATGCGAGGCTGAGCGGGAACTGGAGGAGTGAGCCTCCAGCTGAGAGACGGCCACTGCAGAAGCAGGCTTCCTGCTGAGCCAAAGACAGCTCTGAAGTCACTGGTAAGCACCATGCCACGTCCAGCATCAAACCGGACTTTTCCACAGGACTGTTTCTTTCTATAACTATAGGTTTTAGAATTTAAAGAAAGTTGATTTAAAAACAAAAAACCAATAAGCTACGTTAATATTGCCCCAGAAGTGTCACAAGGCAATGAACAAGCTCCTTTGTTTTAGAATTCTAGAGATGACAAACTCAGGAACAACACATATGCTTTTTAACACTTGATTTTCCAGTTCTAAAGACAGGAGAGCCAACCAGTGACTTCAGGCCAATGCGTGACCTGCAGGCAGCTCCTTCACCATGCAGGGCCCAGGGCTAGGGCTGGGAGTACCCAGGGCCCTGTCTCAGCCCTGCCACCCACCCTTTTGGCCACATAAACATTTATTAACAGTCCACTGGCTGGGAAACAAAAAGGAGAGACAGAGGAGATCAAAGAGCTTATTCAAGAGTTAGTTTTTAGTAACTAACAAAAAGCTGACCTTAAATCAACCTACAGATATTTTAATGAGCACACCTACTAGTTGCCGTAAAAAATTCATCAATTATATATGAAGCATGATCCCTGTCCTTAGGGAACACCAGGATGGAAAGGAAGCAAGTGAAAGATCAACCACAACATATTTAATAAAACATCAGAAGAAAGTTAAAGGGAGTATATGACTAACTGCCAAATAACCACCAGAGGAGCAGGGTCAGGTTCTAGGTAGCGCCACATGATTGCTGTGTGAATGTTCTTCCTACTCTCCACGCACACTTCCCCCTCCCACGGGGGTCAAAGGTCCACAGGGTGAAATCCGCTGGGTCAGAACTTCCGCTGGCACAAGGTCAGTGCCATCACTGTCTCCACCCACCTCCCCGTGGACATCACTCACCACCCTGCTCTCTTCCCCGAGTCTGGTCACAGCCCCTTTGATGTCCGCCTTCTCAAGACACTCCTCTCGCCCTCAGGAAGGGCTGTGGATGACCCGACAGGACCTCCTCCAAGGCCCTCAGTACCTCTGGCTTGCTGTCCACCACGTCCACCTCGAGGCTGACTTCTGCGTGGAGGATTTTCTGCTTAGCTTGCTCCACTGCGGAACTGAGCTTCTGGATGTAGGACTGCAGCTCTTCTGGGGAGTCCATGTTCAGCTCCATCAGAGCTTTGCGAAACTGATCCATCTGGCCATCCTCCAGGAGTTCCTGAAACCAGAGCAGGCACAATTCATCTGCACAGACATCAGTGCAATCGCACACACGAAGGAAAGAGAAGCAGCTAAGAAGTCCAACACACAAAAACTACAGAGCTCCCCTAGCCTGCCCCTCCACGAAATCACCCCGCCACCAGCTTCACACAGCTGCCCTCCTCCCCAGCTGTCTCCAGGCTGCCTTCGTATCATGGTTTCAGCACCACCTCGTTAGGCAAAACTAATCCATGGTAACAGACTTCAGAAATGTTACCTTTTGGGTGGGAAGAGACGGGAAAGTTACTGACTAAGAGGAGACTGAGGGAGGCTTTGGGGACGCTGGTAATGCTTTATTTCTTCTTGATCTGGATGGCAGATACATGGTGGGTTTCACATTGTGAAAATCCACTGAGCTGTACACTTAAGATTTGTGTACTTTGTAGCATGTGTACGACAGTTAAATTAAGAAGTTGAAAGTAAAATAAAGGAGATTATAAGGCCCAAATAAATCAATAAAGCCAGAGCCCACAGCTCTTTCAAAAACACCTGCTGCTATACCCTCCTCCCTGCTGACCATCTCTATACCGATGATCCCCCCAGACTCCTTCTTGACCCCAAGGGCGACCTAGTCAGTCAACGCATTTTAGGGTTGAGGAAGAATATACAGGAAGAGACTCTTCGGGGACCGCCTTGCTGAGCCAGGCTGGGGACCCATCCCGGGACCTGCTCTGACCTGCACGTAGAGCAGTCTGTCCAGCCGCTCCTGATCAACCTGCAGCTTCTCCTCCCGCCGCCGGGCGTTGAGCTCCTGCAGCCGCCGCAGCTGCTGCTGCCGCCTCTCCTGCTTCTCCTCAGAGGTCAGGGTGCTGCCGAGGAGCTTGCTGGAGAATGGGAGCTGCATCTTGTGGACGTTGTTTTCATAATAATCAGGGCACTGCCATTTTTGCAATTCTTCAAAGAGATAATTTTGGAAGTTATGAAATGGAAACACTATCAGCACAGAAATTAGAAAGTCAACACCAGGGTTCCACAACCGGGTAGATGGAGAAAGCACACTCCACCCAATCTGATCAACCACACAATTGCTCGAGCAATGAAATGCGGCTATGAAACCTGGACATTATGCCAACAGAACCGTTCTGAAAGAATTGCTAAATAAAGTTCTTCAGACAGAAATGATACCAGGAGGAAATGTGGAACATCGAGAATGAAGGAAAAGCAACAGAAATGATGAAAACCTGGTTAAACATGATAGACTAACCTCCT